AAAATATGTTTCTTACTGTGTCAAAGTGGTTTAAAAGTCACAATAGCTATCTAATGTCCTTTCTAGCTCTATTGTCAATCTTTGTATTTGCTAATCAATTATTCTATGTACTTTACTAATTGAAATCTAAGCTTTTAATTTAATCTGGCCTGCATATGAACCCAAAATTTACAGGAAGAATCAAAGATGTCCTAAAATTGTTGAATTATAAGGTTCCAGTAGAAATTTGTTCAAGTTCTATAAACTTTTTTTTTTTTTAAGGACCCATTACGTGCATTTCAGGAATTACTGATTTAATTAGCAGGATAATTGGGGAACAAAAACAAAATATACATAATAAAGTCTTATATGTATTATATATATGTTAAAACCACATATTCTGGAGCAAGACTGCCTGGGTTTGAATCCCAGTCTTGCTACTTACCAGCTGTAAAACTTTAACTTAGTTTTTCTGTGTTGCAATTTCCTCAACTATAAACTGAGGATAATAATAATGCCTACCACTAGGGGTTGTTTGGAGGATTAAGTGAACTATTTACATGCAAGGCAGAAGAGTATCCGGTACAAAGTCAGTACTTCTAAGTATTGTCAATTATTACTGTTGTCTTTTCTATTAGTTCTCTTGCAAGTTATTTTAAAATTCCCAAAATGCAAAATTATATGAATCTAAGAATATTTACCTATATTCAACTAACATTTTGAAAACCAATATGAAGGAATTAAATACAGTATTTAAATGTAGATGTTCTATTAAGAATGTAAAAATCACCATTCACCTTTCGCTCTAACACTTTCCCAGAGATGTAGACTAAATTCTTACTTGGGTAGGTAAAGAACTCCAAATATCTGAAACCAGAATCTTTAGTGCTTGTGATAATTATTAGGTGGAGGGAAGGGAAGATAAGGAAGAGAGATACCCTTAAAAACAACTTGACTGTATCTGATAAGTATAGATACTCAGAACACTGATCACTAAATGGCTGTTCTGTTTTTTCTACACGCAAGGCTGTATCAGCAGGAGTTATAAGACCCACAGGTTGCAGCTTTCCTACGGTAACTGAATAGGTATCCCCTAGCTGGGTGAACATTGCCCACACTACCCTTAGCTAGCACCTCAGAATCACCTAGGTCAGAAAGCAGCTTTCCCATCTCCTCATATAGCCTCACCCCCAAAAGGTATATGCTCTACCTACTGATGGTGGGTGAGGTGGCATTTATGCATGCCGGGCTTAGAATCACTGGTTTAGAGAACCCTATTTATCTGGGTCCCATATGAAGTTTTTAGCTAATTTCAGGGTGCACCAAGATGCTAATCTCCTCATACGGGCTCCAGGATCCACCATCCACCATCTCAAAAGACATCCAAAGGCTGCCTTCGATTAAGCATATCAGAAGCTTGGAACCAATCTATTCTCTTCCAAGGCAGCCAGGTTGCCTTGGTGCCTGTAACAATCTCCCATGGGGCTCGATTCTATACTAATGGGGCAGAGGTGGTACAAGGTCATCGAGAATCTGAGGGAGAAATTCTGACTCGAGGAGAGTTTCTGGAGCCTCAGAAGGTAAAGGTTTGACTTAATAAAATGTTCTATAACATACCTGCATCAGATCTTGTTTCTCTTTTTCTCCTGAGCTAATAGCCTTTCTGATGGATTTCAGTTCAGTTAGAATGGCTTTGGCTTCACTAAGTTCATACCCACTCTGGCCTCCAGACATTTTTTTATCAATTCTGTCAAAAGAGAGAAAAGAAAAAAATCAAAGAGTGACAGAGTACAAGTTAAACAGACAGTAGGAATTGGTTTTTGGATGGCCTTAGTTGGCTGATTATTTTACTACTTGACTCCTACACCAGCAATTACCTTTTCAGGCTGATTGTTTCTCCTCCTTTCTCTTTTAATCACATCCAGCTAAGACTTCTCCCACCCCCCACTTCATACACAGTCCATTTCCGATCACTTCTAGGCTCAAATAAAAACATGTCTTTTTGTCTTCAGTCTGTTTGGGTGACCCCACTGCGGGCTGAGCCCAGACCTCATCAAGTGCTGATCCAGATCTCCACCCTGAGAAAGGTGAAGGGCATGGGCAAGTGCTTTAGCACAACAGAAATGCCAATAAACTGCCAGCTAATTTTACATGTGTTGCTGTAATGTCTGTGTAAAACCTAGCACAGGGCCTGCAGCCAATAGGCCTTTAATAAATGGTTAATAAATGAATCATTATTTATACTAGGAAGTATCCTCAGTATTTGGATTGTGTGGTTACTTGTTTCTTTTTAAATATATAGAAAGTATATTTTCTATTTTTATGAAAGTTGTGAGTGGAGATAAAACCGCTTGCTTTGTTGAATGAATACAAATTCAGGAACAAGGCAGAAGGGCAGATGTGTTCATTTTTTCAACTCACACTGAATAAAGAACTCTTCGATGAGCTAATTTATTATTCCCACAGACCTGCTTACCAAATGTCCTTACAATTCACATCATCACCCTGGGATAGAGGATTTCCTGTAACCTCATTCTTTGTGTTTAAAGGGCCCAAACCAAATCGCCCAATTCTTTTTAAAAAATAGTTTAACATTCTTTTCATGACCACACCCCTGGTTCTCCCTGCCTCCCTATGCTATCCAGGATTTGTCAGCAACTCTATACACGTTCTTAGACATATTTTTAGTCCCTCCAGAGAAATGACACCTACAAAAAGAGAGAAAACATTTTGAGCTCATTTGGTTTAAACTATTTAATAATTAATATTTGTTTTCAATATGAAAGGTAAAATCTGAAAAAATAAAACAATGCCATCTTCATCACTCTTGCAAAGTTTACTCAAACAAGTAAGTGCAGTTTGTAGATAACACATTTCCCCAAGTACTATTTTAGTAAATATTTTATGCTGCTGAACAAGCAATTAAAGCCTTAAAGAATCAAGAAAATAAAATAGACTTTATCATAAGGTCATCTGATAATAAAATACAACCAATCAAGTCACAGAATTACACATGCACGCGTGCACACAGACACATGTACACACACACACACAGAGTCTAGGATGGGTGGGGACCCTAGAGATTCCCTAGTCAAATCTCTTCCAAACAAAGAAACTGAGACCAGAAAGTATATGCAAATTTAGGCCCTAAATTGCATAGATACTTAGCTAGTAGGGCAACTATCCTAAAATGACAGATTCAGGCTTGGGGCTCTTACGACTATAACATTTAGGATAGCTGATGGGAACAGTGAAGTACTTTGAATACTGGTTAATTCCATGTATTTGGGAAGGTATCTATCAGTGAAATTTCTGGCTCCCCTAAATATTATATCCACCAACTTAGCTGAGGTAAAGGCTTATTAAATATAACAAGTGCTATTTCCAAATACAGCATTTTGGCATTCTCAAGTGTGGTGCTTTTTAACTAACAAAACAAAACTGATATTTCATGAAATAGCTAGTAATGCAGGTATCTGAAACTGTGTCACAGTGAATTTACAAAACTCGAATAATACAAACTTTATTATTTGAAAATAAAAGCAGGTAAGCTGTTTTCAGAAATAAACTTTTAACATTCAAAAATAAAAGCAGAACTAGTTCAGGACTGCTAATTTAAATTTCAGAGAGCTTTAAAAACAGATGAAAATGTCTTGGTTTTCCCCTGCTCAACAGAATGCCGAACGAAGAGCGAGCTGCCTCAACTCAGCATTCACCGTGGGACCCCTTTTGGTCTTTCTTTTTTCTGCCTCTTTTGAACCTCTCTACTTTATATGTTGCTTTTTTCCATTACTTTTAATGCTTTTCCTTTTTCTCCTCCAATTTTCATTTCCCACGTCTTCTCTCTTTTGACCCTAACTTATCTTAAAATATAACAAGAGCATCATTTGCTGACTTTTAAAATGAAGTACTGTTTTTTGTTCCTAACAAGAAGTACCAATTTTTTTCTTAAAATTTTTTTTAAAGTTCTTGACTTATATGTGCCCTCTAATTAATTTTTGCTCTATATCTTAGTCTCTTTGGAAAGAAAAGATTTTCATTTGCACGCCTTCTCTGGAATGTGTGTACCCTAGAGCCAAACTTTCAGAGTCTGCATATGCTTGTGGCTTGCTGGGTGTTTCATCACTTTCCATTTTCCAATTCTTAATACACACCGGAGGCAGCAAAACGGAAATATGCACCTTCCTGGTATCCATTTACACATAACTTAGCCTATTGCTTAGGCTAAAGTCAAATTTGGGACCATGAACCAAAATGAATAATGTAGAGAACAAAATTATATTTGTTCACCCAGCATAAAACTATTGTAGATGACAGTGGGGCAAGTAAAAATGAAAGCCCGAGCTTAAATTACATTACCAGATTCAACAAAAATATTCCATTCTATTGTAAATAAAAATTACAAAAGCCTACAATGGGATTCTATTTAAATCTTTTCTTGAAATGTATTTTCTGTCATAGCCACAAATAAAAGCCCCTTTATAGTATTCAGGAATGTGGTTTCTTAAAAAGTCTGGTCTCTGGGTTCAATCAATTATCATTCAGTGATACAGCAGTGTGTTGGTTAACATTTGAATAAAAACAGCTTTATTTTGTCTATAGTTAAGCTCAACAGGAGAGGTCTCTGATGTTTGATACCGTATCTCTCTGCTCTTGGTTCAAGGGATTAGAATCATTGCAAGAGAATGCCTGAATTTCTACAACAAATGTCTATTGTTTTCTTATGGAATGTTATTGACAGATTCTTAAACATGCCTTAGATTCCTATAAAAATTTCTTGCAAGCAAACCGCTTTGAAACAATACAGCACTGTTACATCAATATAACAAAAACAGCAAGTTTGGCTAACCTTTAATCCTGGGTGGTGATATGAGTTATAATTTCATGTGCTTTAAAAGTGTTTAACATATGGCTAAAGATTTTGTGACACTCTTCAAAGTTTGTCTTTTCTCCCCATTCCCACCACAAAGCCCTGCTTTATGCTAACAAACAATTACTAAATAAAACATTTATGTCATTCTAGGTGTGCTTGGTTTTTTGGGAGCTCTACACCAGCTGAGGTTCTTAGGACATGGCTGTGCTTGAGAAGCACCCAGGATCTCATAAAATATACCCGGGAGGAGACCAGAAACAGGTATCTTTTAAGATCACCCCAAATTATTCTAATATGAGGTCAGGTTTGAGAACCACTAGATGGGAGCATCTGAAAGAACATCAGGGTCATAATCACATGAGGCAAGTAGGCAAAAAAAGAAGACCGAGCCATAACAGCAAACGTGTGAAATGAGAGTCGTGTGCCTGACTGGTGGGCAAGAGCGTGCTGGGTGTCCCAAGATACAACTTGTCACCCAAACACACAGAACCACCAGCTTACATCTGTTTGGCCAGTGACACGTGGAGTTTTTAGAGGGGGTAACGTCTTGCTGCTGGACTCTCCCAAGTGTCCCAACAGCAGAAGGCAGAAGAGGATTCCGCAGGAAAAAGGAACAGAGCTGGGTACTTTCCAGAGAGGTGGCTCCTGAGACCAGCTGGGCACTGCTGAGGTGCCACTGAGGGAGATGTCAAGAAGAACATGAAACCTGCTTGGGCATGGAACGCGAAACCGACCAGGGAAATCCCTAGAAACACTGCACCGCAACTGGCGGCACCAAGCCCTGCAGCAAGCAGGAGGGAAGTAAGAAGCAGTTGATGGCTTTCAGGGGATACCACTTTCCAACCTCTCTGTGGTCATGTGGCTAAAAAACCACAGGCTGCTTCCCTTCCCCGAGAGACCCTGTGAGGTTAGAAAGTCTCGGGTGTCTGTCATGGCAGGCTCGGCCTCATCAGCAGGGAGAACAGTGGCTTCCATGGGCTGGGAATGGAGAGACTTCCAGATCCTATGCCCTTCTGTCATCTACATTTTCATTTAATCTGGCCTAGCGTAAAGGTACGCCAACAGCCCACCCGACTTCAGTACTGAGCTGGAAAGGACAGGGGACACAGGAAGTGAGGAACATGCCCCAGCTCCTCTGCTGACAGTCCTGACTTGCTCTTGCAGCCCTGAGGTCAGTCAGGGTTAGACTCTAGGTCATCCCTGGGGCTGACAGAGAGGCAGAGAGATGCCTCCAGACCTCGTCCGCAGGCTCCTCTGGGGTCTAGCACAGTCCAGCCAGGCAGGTCCAGCCTCCGGAGCAGAACGCAGACAGGTGCTTCTGTGCCTGCTCTCAGCTCCTTACCACAACCCTAGAGGAGGCTGGCAGGTGTCCAAGAGACAAAGCAAATTTTTTCACTTTGGTTTCTTTGATCTCCAATGATTAATAAAAACTTCGGACCTTTTCAAGTGTAATAGATTTTTCCCAAATTTTTTGTTTTCTTGCTGCAGAGCTCTGAGCTTTTTACTTCATGTTTCTTTGAGAAGTCCCTTAAGTAATCTGTACTTCTATTTTCTTTATATTAGTTAGGGAGCCTATTCTGAAGTCGATTTCAGTATTTTTATACTCACTGTTGCAACGTTTCGAAGCCTTGTTCTTTATAGAGCAGTTCTTGCTTCATCTGTGAGAGTTCTCTCTTCAGCTTTTTAACCTTTCATGAAAAATCAATGTAAATATTAATGTTTGTAAATACCTAGCAACATAGTGCATTGTTTTAAAAGATAATAAATTAGTAAACTATTAACACATAAATAAAGACATTAGTTTAAGTAACATTCACTTTACCAGTTTTTCCTTCACATAAATTCTTTGGAAAGCATATTAATTATGTTTAAATTATCAGTGATGTATATAACTACTATTTACCTTAATTATCTCATTCAGCAACATTCCCATGAGCTGGACATCATCATGGTCTCCTTTTGTGATGAACAGCCAATAAAGCGCGGAGTAAGAACCTCGAGCCACTGCATGTCTGACTCTAAAAGCTTGCACTCGCGCCTTCATTCACGGCGCCACTGGCCACCCCTGTTTCTCGGACATGCCCAACTGATGCCTGCCTCAGTGTTTCTGCATAGGCTGTTGCCTCTGCCTGAAAAGCTCTTCCCAGGTCTCCAGTGCTTGACTCCTCATCACTCTGAAGTTGGCCAAACACTACTTTTCAAGCAGGACTTCTCTCACCACGTTATCCATGCTATGACTGTTTTATTTAGATCATAGCACTTTTCAAGAGTTGAAATATCCCATGTACTTGGGTTTTTTTTGTTTTGTTTTTAAGAGACGGGGCCTTGCTCTGTCACCCAGGCTGAAGTGCAGTGGCCCGATCATAGCTCACTGTAACCTTGAACTCCTGGGCTCCAGTGATCCTCCTGCCTCAGCCTCCCGAGTAGCTAAGACTATAAGTGCGTGCTACCACACCCTGCTAATTTTTTAATTTTTTGTCAAGAGAGGGTTTCGCTAAATTACTCAGGCTGGCCTCCAACTCCTGGCCTCAATTGATCCTCCCACTGTGGCCTCCAAACTGCTGGGATTACAAGAATGGGCCACCTCGTCCAGCCTCCTGTGTACTTGTTTACTATCTGTCCTCCACGGGAAAGTAAGCTGCATCCCACCAGCTATATCCTGAGCATCTAGAACAGTACTATGCAAACAGTAAATGATAAATATTTGTTGTCTAACTGCTAAAAAACATTTTCTTCCTGTTGGCAAATATATTCTTTGGTAATAACGATGCTAAAATTTGACAGATCAGAAAAATAGCACATGCCTGGTTTAGTCATGAACTCATAAAGGTCTTCGCATGACAGTTAGGAACTCATTTCCATATGTTAAGTTATAGCCTTCAGTGTTAAACACATTCTGTTGTGCAGTAGTTTCGTGTGCTTTCAAATTTGTATTGCTTATTTATTTTACTCATTCCACAAATAGTTATTGACTCTCCATTACATGTCAGGTCCTGGGCCTGAAGTGTTAACAAAACAGGCATTATCCCTGCCCTCATGGATCTTAATGGAGCACTGGAGAAGCCAGATGAGCCAAATAATCACTGGGCGAAATAAATCTTACCAATGACCAGAGATGCTACGAAAAAAAGGTCAGGATAATTTGAGATGTAAAACGGGGACGAGACCTAATTGAGTCTCAGCAGCTGGATGAACCCTGTCTGAGGAAATGACGTCTAAGCAGACAGGGAGAGTAGTGGGGGTTCACTTGGTAGATGAGGGTTCTCCAAAGGTAAAGTTTGTGCAAAAACCCTCACAGGGGAGGGAGACTCATCAAACCTGTGGAATTTAAAGAATGCACCCTCCTGCTGCTGGATTCCAGGGGGTGGGGGGGCATAAAGTGGGATTGGAGAAGGCCTGATTATAAAGAGTCTTGAAGCCATGTTGAGGATTTCTAAATCTTAGCCCAAGAACAATTAGAATCAAGGAGGGATTTTCAAGCATGATCAGCCTTGTGATTATAAATAATCACTGTGACAACTCTGTGGCGACAGAACAGAGACACCAGCCCACAGTGCAGGCACATGGGCAGGTGTGATACAGCAGAGCCCAGAGGAGGAATACAATGCAGAGGTGGAGTCGGCAGGACTTGGTCACGGGCTCAGTGAGAGCATGGGGGAGAGATGTCATGAAGATCACATTCCGGATCTTGGCTTGCCAGCCCGGTAGGTAAAAGCATTTTCCCGGAGAGGGGGACCAAATTTGGGGGTAAGGATCGAGGATTTTCTTTAAGACATTTATTTTGGGGATGTCCATGAGACTTCAAAGGCAACTGGAATATGTGGACTTGATGTTCAGAACAAGTGTCTGAACTAGAGATATAAAATTAAGAGTCACTGGCATAGAGAGATGGTATTTTAGATGCATCAGAATAACTGAGATCACCTACAGAGGGTGTGTAGTGATGAGAAGAGAGTTCAGGAACAAGCCCTGGGCATCTTCATTATTCAGAAGTCTACCAGAGGAAGAGGCAAAATATACTGTGAAGTAGTGGTAAGAGAAGTAGGAGGAACAAAAAGAGCATTACAGAATATAAGAGAAAAAGTCGAGGGGGAGACTAGGCCCTTTGAGGAACCAAACGCTGAGGACAAGCTGTGTAATACTCAGTGTTTGTATCCCTTGAGGCGCAGTGCTTTGGATAAGGTAGACAGTCAATAATTTATCTGTTGAATTTATCTTAATGTAACAGTTTGTGCCCTAAGGCATTTATATTTTATTAGGGAATAGAAATTTAAATAATTATACTTCAAGGCCCAGCTTATAACTACAAAGAGAGGTGTAAACAATTCTGTTAGAAGCCAAGGGAGGAGACGATTACTTATGGCACGAGGATGAGGGCTGACCTCGTGGAGGAGATGCCTGAACTGGATTCTGAAGGTGCTGTAATTCTGACCAAGGGCAACGAGCTCATTCACAGTATGTCATGAAAACAAAAACATTTCAGTTTTAATATTAGACTATTACCATGTCAAAAGAACCATCAGTAATCAAGAGCTCATTCCACAAGTACTTCTATTTTGGACAGCATTCTCAAGTGCTTTTTGCCAAAAAGGCAATAACACTTTTATCTTAAAAAAAAAAAAAAAAAGGAGTTAATAAAAAAAAAAATCAATAACAACACAAATGGCTGGGCTGAAACCTGTCTTTACCTTTGAAAACACAGTTAATAAAAACAATGGTGATAATGAGCCCACTTATAACTGAATTGGGGGGGGAACCAAGGGCAACACACGTAACCTAAACATCTGTATGCAGCATGATTCATAATAGCTAAGCTGTAGAAATAATCTAAATGTTCAATGACAGATGAATGGTGAAGAAAATGTAGGACATACACGTTATGTACTATTATGTATTATTCAGCCTTAAATATTATATTATTTATTTTATTTATATATTATTTATATGTGTTATATATTATATATGATATGTTACATCATATATAATAATGATGTAACATATCATATATAATATTATTTACATATTATTCAGCTGGAATATTATTCAGCCTTAAAAAAGAAGTAAATGCTGCAAAATGTGACATTGATGAACTGTGATGACATCATGCTAGGTAAAGTAAGCCAGTCACGGAAGGACCAGAACTGCATGATTCCACTTACATTAAGTATCTAAAATAGTCAAACTCATAGAAGCAGAAAGTAGAATGATGGTTGCCAGGGGCTGGGGTGTGGAGGAAAGAGGGAGTTGTGCAAGGGTATGTTCAGTTATGGAAGATGGAAGTTCAGAGATCTGCTGTGCAACAGTGTATCTATAGTTAACAGTATTATATTGTATACAGAAAAATTTGTTAAGAAGGTGGATCTCAGGTTAAGTGTTCTCATCACAATAAAATAAACATTGGAATTTAAAAAAATCTAAAATTAACTTCTGACAAACAGAGACTCTCCTCTGTTTAGGTGATGTGAGGTTTTATTGTATGTTGTGTGACAATCATACAGGAAGCTAACCTATGCATTCTTTTCTTCTACATTATTTAGTTTACCAGAAATCAGCTATAAGCTAGTTTTTATTTTGAGGAGTCTTCTTAGTGGATTACCTAAATGATTATTGGCTCCCAAATGTCAATGTTGCATTTTATTATTAATTACTATGAAAAAGTTTGCTCACATTATACTGACATGTGAAAACAGATATTATTTCCAACCAGACATTATTTCTAATTGTTTTTGGTTTTATGAATATAGTCATAACTAGTAGTTCAACAACTTTTCTTCTCTGAAACTATTTGACATCATTTTGGCTATTGGAGGATCAGTATTTCTATTCTTCTCTTCTCCCACCCACCCTCAAATGTAGGACCTAGAATTTTTAAAGCAAATGTCCTTAGATTACAGCTAAAGGATTAAGCTAATGCTGACTTGCAAGGTTAGCATAATGTAGACTCTACTAAGAAGCGACAAGGAGAGGTAAATTCAGGAGCACCTTTTATGTATTCCAGGTATTGTGTTAAATATAAATGCCTATTTTCAATTCTCAAAACTACTCTATTAGATTCAATTTTAATTCTCATTTTATAGGTGAGGAATCTGAGACCTAAAGAGAAAAAGTAAGCAAACTGCGGGAGGTTACACTGCTACTAGGCAGCAGAGACTAGTCTAAAACCCAGGAGAATTTTTTAAAAAATACAATTATAAAAGTTTAGTTATTCATGGCATCATGATACATGTAAAACCAAAGACAAATGAGAATTATAGCAAAACAACCTAAATAAAATCTATGACCCTTATTTTACCTTAGAAACTTCATTGTTTCCACATACCATCTGGATTGACGACATGAACAGCTCACAGGCCCTAGAGCCTGCGTCTTCTCTTAGTTACTGACCTTTCTGCAGCTGTAGCCAACCATCTACTCTTACAGAGCCATTTCTAGTGAATCAAATCTCACAACCCAGAGTCATAAATTGGAGGCAAGAGATTCATGACTTTTGCACATTTCCTGCCTTCCATACTGACTACAAAAAGCAACTGACATTTTAACTTGATTTCAGTTATCTCTGAAAACCAGGAAGATACTGTGATTAAATGTGATAAGTATGACTAGAAATCATAGAGCTTCTTGCCACCTCTTCCAATCCCAGTGTAATAAGTTTTATTTTTAAAAAAGGAGAAAGAAGATGACAATGAAG